AGAATTTCTGAATATCCATCAAAAAAGGCCCTATATTCTGAGGGGTTTTATGGAACTTAAAAGGAGTCCATAATATCTGGTTCCAGGGGTAAACATTGCTCTCACTCAACTGCTTTCTAACGTCTGTCAGACCCACTGAGATGACAGTTGAGACTACCTGCAGATAAATGTTGAGGCGTACACGCAAATCCTCCCCGCCATGCAGAAAGGAGGTCAGTACGGGGTTTACACGCTGTTCACTGCCTTTGCGAGGCCTTCGCTCAAGCAGAGCGTATCTCATGGCTCTTCCACTGAACTGAACTGCAGACTGCTGACTGCAGCTCAGTCACTGCCGTTTTGCCCGTTGTGTTTGGTACTGGATAAGAAAGACACTTGAATGGATGTTATAGTACAGCAATCTCAAATAAGAAATCCACAGTTTGTAAATTAGCTGTTAGCAGCTCTCATAAATACTCCTCAAAGTCCTCCTCCAGTAGCAGAAATAGCTGTTCACTCTCTAAACTGTCAGGCGATTGATTAAGATCAGAAAGGCTTAGTTGGCAAACTCGTAGTGCCAGTGGTGCCTGACTCATGATTAAGAGCACTGTCTCAGTTCCCCTGGAGCAGGAAGAGGACAGCAAACACTGATCAAGTTTTTCACTTCCTTCCCAGTCACAGCTTGGCTCCCTGAAAAATAGAGACCTTCTTGGCAGAGGTCACTGTTGCTAAGACCACTTCTTATCTTGTATCTTCCACAAAAATGCTTATTTATATAACAGGTGTCCTTCCCGCTGCGGAAACCTGGAATCTATACAATACTTTCAAAAACTCACCTGGCAGGTTGAAGCCCTGATAGCCTATTTTCAATATGTGCACTGAAATGAGTTAAAAATAATTATTACATGTAGAAACTTATACTGTCAGATCCATCTAAATGGTCAGTGATCTGACCACCACAGTCATTTCCAAATTAACCAGCAGAGCTAGAATATTACCAGCTGCTGTGGAAGGATGTTCTCCTAGTTCCTTTAACTTCAAGATAAGTCTGTGATTATTGCTAGAGCTGTTCACAGCTTTGTGGATACTCTCAAATGAGATCCTTTATGTATTCTTTACTCTTACAGGCTAACTTGTGCATTAATTAACTTGTTCAGGCAGCTCTTTCTTACATAGTCCTGAATAAAGTGGCAAAATAAGTGAAATGAAAATACAATCAGCATGTTAATGTATCTTTTGCTCTTTCACACATACACCCCCCCACAAATAACCTGTCACATGCATACACCCATACTGTCTGAGTGTTCATCTTCTGTTCCTTCCTTCTGGCTTATCAGAGACTAAGAGTGATGTGGTGGCTTCCACCATTCATGCTACAACTTCACTGCGTTGGTCAGTTAAAATGCCTCGTGCACAAGAAAGTACTCTCAGGATGGCTGGATGAGAAAAGCAGTCGCTCCATGATAATTTCCACAAGTTCTGGTCTTTGAATCCTGCTGGAAAAAACATGTATCAAAGGGCAAACAAGTATCTGGAACAAGTATCATCTGACTGTGACAGAACGTTCCTATTAACTGTGTCCTCTACGGGCTAATTGTTCAAGTTATTCAAGCCTCCTCACTCTCACTAATTCCGTATAATGTTTTGTTTCATAAGCAATTGTCCATGTTTATTCATTTCCCTATCTATCTAGCTCATTTGCACTTGCAAAGAATAAACGGGAGGCAACGTTTGAGTAGTCACATAATACCCATAAGAGAATTAATTACTTTTATACAGGATCTAATTCATACAGGAAAAAAGGGAGGTGTGGGATTTTGTTCTTTTTTTCCTCTGTATCATACTTTCAAAATCAGTTGCAAAAAAATGCATACACACATTGTACCTAGGCAAATTTAGCAAATAAGCAAATATTCGGTACACACATCCAAACATGTTCTGTTAGCTGGCCACAAAACTAACCTGATACTTGCTAATGTAAAAAGCTGGATATAAGGAAAAGATTTATGCAAAACTAGACATTCAAGCTGTATTAGCTTAATTGAACTAAACAATAACAAAGATAGATAGCATGATTTTATACATCACAATTCTCAACTATAATGCAACATTTGCAGTTTCTATAAAAACTATTTCAAAGAGCACAAATAGATACGAATATCCAAAAATTCTTTAAATACTCAAACAACCATCACGGCATTATGTTCTTTACTTACATAATTCTTCATCATGAGCTGGGGAACCCATGGCCAAGGGTCCAAACAAAGCCTATGAATCCACCCCATCTGCAACCACATGACTTTTTCCCACATCATTATTGATTACCACAGAGGTGTGCATTAACTTGTGGCCAACGAAAGGTGCTCAAAAGGCCTCCCTCGCTCTCAGCAAGGACAAGTTCTTCATCACAGAAGTAACTCTAAATATGAGCCTACGCTTCACAGGACAGGATATCACAAAGGTATGCCAGGGATTCTGAGGAAGCCTGACGTTATCTTGTCAGTTATTTAAAAGCCAAAGCTCTGAGTCTGGAAGACATTTTTTGCTAATTTCAGTAATTAACTGAGTCAGCTGGGAAACACCAGGCTGGTGTTTTCCAGCACTCTGGAGGAACGGAGGAATGCAGGAAGATGCAGCTGTCAGAAGCTTCAAGCAGGCAGGTGACTTGGACCGGGAAATGACTCCTTCGTTACCAATGGAAATGCTGGCAGCTCATTCACCGTACACACCTTCAGGACGATGCGTGACTGCAGACTGAAGCAATCATAAAATATGACACTGCCTAGAACAAAATTAATTTTAGTATCGGTCCAGGATATGCAAAGCATTTAATTTTGTAGCATGTCTTGGGCTGGCTGTTGGCTGGACCTGGGGCACGGAGCTGTAGCAGCCTCACCTCTGTCGGGCTGCTGGATATGGCCGTACCCACCTACCAACATAGGCATATCTGCCACTCTTCCTATAGATGCTGGGGTTTTTCCTTCCAAAAATTGAAAATAACAGCCAAAACTTTGCATTTATTCTAGTGGATAGATCTTCCAAGTATTACCTATAGATCATTTGTATGGAGAGGTTTATGCCACACTGCTCAGGCTAACAGCATGCAGCTCTGTGTATAGAATCATAGAATGCTTTGGGATGGAAGGGACCTTTAAAGGTCATCTAGTCCATCCCCCCTGCAATGGGCAGGGACATCTTCAACCAGATCAGGTTGCTCAGAGCCCCATCCACCCTGGCCTTGAATGTTTCCAAGGATGGGGCATCTACCACCTCTCTGGGCAACCCCTTCCAGTGTTTCACTACCCTCATTGTAAAAAATTTCTTCCTTATATCCATTGTATCCATTATATCCATTGTATCCATTGAGCTACCCAATTACAAAATGGGGGTTTGTAAAAACGAGCTCTTGAACCAGGGTACTTCTTGCTTTACAAAGTGCAGAACAATACAGCATCTGTGTGGACGAGGAGGTTTCCAGGCAATCCCGGGGGCTCATTTGCAGACTAACCCCCCTCACCGCCTGCTCGCCACTGGGCGGGAAAGGGCGTCACGCAGGCAGTGCAGAGCTCTTGAGTAACGCCCAGCACACCGGGGCGGACGGCAGCACCGCATCGTTTTGCCCTGTTTAACATCCTCAGCCAGCCCGGCTGTCGGCGGGGAGAGGCTGAGACCAAAGGCAAGGCGGCACCCGGCCCAGCGCCCCCTCCCTCAGCCGCCATGACAGGAACCGAGGCCCACCGAGGGCCCAAGGCCGCCCCACAGCGCAGGGCCCACCACCCCCCCGGGCTGCCAAGG